TGCTTCTCCACAGCACCAGCCTGAGGTTGAGTCCACTTTTGGGGAAAGGGAAAGTGTAGTTTTGTGCCTCCCCATTCTTGCCTTGGCCCACCCCTTAGATTACCCCCTAAGTTGATGGAGAAATTCCCAGATTACTTTTGCATCCTCTGATTTAAAATCCCGTTCTTACATTTCTTGAAAAGTAGCGTGTTTCCAAGTTGTTATTACATTCTGTCGTTAACAAAAATATGAATTCCCAAATCTGAGCAAAATATCGTGGGAATGCTCCAGAGCTTTACCTCCAGGCCTGGAGCTCCAAAAGCTTTCGCTGTGCTGTGGAAGGAGATGAGACCGGTGTGCCTGCTGGGGGGTGAGGGTGGGAGGGCTCTGCAGTGGGGCAGCCCCCCAAGGTGCCAACAGCCCTCCTGAGCTTGTGCACTGTCCGGCTCAGCCTCTTCTGCTCCTCTTCCCACGTCTCCAGGTGGTCATCAACAGTCCAATCGTGAAGGGGCTGAAATATAACCAGGCCACGCCGAACTTCCACCAGTGGCGGGATGCCCGCCAAGTCTGGGGTCTCAACTTCAGCAGTAAAGAGGATGCCAGCCAGTTTGCCAGCGGAATGATGCACGCCTTGGAGGCCCTGGATTCGGGTGAGTCCAGATGGACTGCTTCTGCCCCGGAGAACAGGGTGGGCACTGTGGTTGGGGGGCAGGGGGGATGGCCCTGCAGGGGGCCAGAGGCTGAGCCAGCTCCGGGGATACAGGGAAACGGCTGGGGTACAGATACTGGGAACTCCCCCAGGAGAAGCCATCCATGGCACGTGAGAGAGCGCGGCCTCCCCATTGGAAGCCCTTTCTGTGCCTCTCCCCAACAGGTGGGGTTGAGCAGTTTCCCTCTGGAGGGGACTGGTGGGGGGCCCAGTCAGGTGGGCCTCAGTGCTGGGGGGGGAGGTGCTTGGTCTGTTTTTTGCGTGAGAGGGAGAAGAGCTGAACTGCTGATTTGACTCAACAATGTGCTATAAACCTGTTTTTTGTCTGTTCTGTCTCTCAAGGAAACTCAGCACCCCCCCTGCGCCCAGTCCAGAATGGACCCACTGCTGATGAAGTCGCAGAGCAGCAGAAAAGGTACAGGAAGTACTGCAAGGTTTAAAGGTCTTGGGGGGGAGCAAGCGCTCTCCCAAAGACACTCACTGCAACAGGGAGGAAGTTTATTTTTCTCCTACTTCATCAAATATTTTCAGATACGAGAGAGAGAAAGGGGAAGAATAGGATTATTGTTCTCATTATACTCCCTCTTGTTTGAACAGTCCACACATTGACAAACTTTCCCTTCCACCAACCCCCAGTGTAGAAGGTGCCGTGGCGCCCATTTTGTGGCAGGGGAAGCTGTGGCTAGAAGGGAGCCACTGCCCCAGTTCTCGGCTCTGAGCCTCTCGGCGTTGGGCCAGATCTTGCACCCAGGAGGGTCCCCCCTTGGCCCCCCCTTCCTAGGAGCTACCATTCTTTGCAGCCAGAGTTGCCCAGAGCAGAAGGGAAGGGGTGCACGTGTGTGTGAAAGGCCTCCTTGATCAGATTAGCGGCTAATCGGCTTGCAGAGCTACCCGGGCAGGGGCTAGGCACTGCCCCTTTCAGATGAGCTCAGCTTCGTCGCCTCTCACAATGTGTGGCTTTGCAGTTTCTAGCCTCTTGCCCGAGCCACCGCAGAAGTGAGTGGGGGGGCTGAGCGCCTGCTGGGGGGGCTTGGGAACGGGATCCCTCGGTCCTCCCACTGGGGACTGAGGCCTCTTTCTGCCTCCCCTCCCTTCCGCACCCTTCAATCCAGGCACCAGCAGCAGCTGGAGAAGGAGCAGCAGGAGCAGGCTGAGCGGGAACGACGGGTGACGATCGGAGGTGGGTGCCTGGGCGGGTGACGACATCACCCCTTGCCTCCCCCCTCCCCCCAGGGTTCTGGGCTGGAAGTTGGGGAAGCCCGTGCCAGCTCTGCATTTGGGGCCCTTGGATGGCCTCCGCCTGGCTGGGTGAGGGCCCCAACACTGCGGGGGGTAACCACGCACCCGGGGATGGGAGGCCAGCTGCTGGGGAGGGCCCAAAGAAAAACCATTTGTGCCACTCCCCCATTTGGCGCTTGCCAGATGTCAGCTGCAAGACATGTTAGGGAAGAGGGTCCTCGGCACAGGGGTGGGTGCGGATAGGTGGAGGATCTCCTGATCAACTTCCAGCTTTTGGGAAGGGGGCGAGGCTGCTGGCAGCTGGGGGCCGCCCATCCTTCCCTCTCTCCTTCTCTTGCTGCAGCACCTTTGGTCGCCTCTCCAGGGGGAGGCCCTCCGCCACCCCCAGGCCCCCCTCCGGCCCCCCCCGGGCCTCCACCAGGACCTCCGGGGCCACTGCCAGGAGCCCTCACCGGCCCGCCCCCTCCTCCCGGGCCACCCCCTCCTCCGGGGCCACCGCCCGGCCTTCCATCCGTAG